TGGTGTACACGGTGGGACAACGGCTGTCCCATTAGAAATAAAATTTCCAGCTTTACATCCCTGAATATGGATGAAAATTGGAGTTGTAGTTGCCAATTCTCATAAGTTTTCCGAATCTTTTGTTTTGTGCGAGCGTGATGATGTCCCAGACCTAGCTTCCTGTAAAAGATCCCTTGCTCCCTGTAATGCCGGGTGCTGGGACTGACGAAGGTTCCAAGCTCATCTTGTAACTGCGGACTTCATGCGTTACTTCATCGTTCATTTCAGCTAATTTCTTCAGCCACAGGTTTTCCTGAGCAATCATGTTTCAGTTTTGTTTTTTCGATTTTTCCTGCTTACTTAGTTAATTGCTCATTTGTGTCGACTCCTTTTTCCCAAACAAACTTACAATTGCAAACAACATTATCAATTTTTGAGGTGCGACTTTTATTCTCAATGTACTCAAGTATTAGTGAATGACCTTTATGTAGCTCATTTTGTAGGTTCAGATAAGATTTCAAATAACTTCAGTATTTTTTTTGTAATTTTCCATCCATGTTCTCAATAATTGACACTATATTTAGGATGCTATTTTTTAGCCTTTCGAGCTTTCATTGGTAAGTGGTCACAGCTGGATGCATTTCAAGGATGTTAAGACCACCGCTATAATGCCTGAGAAGGAGAAGAGTTTTTAACTCAAGGGAAGGAGGCTGGTGAAATTCAATTATTTCTCATTATGTCTCAGTTAGCTCCTTAGCCATACACTTGGAAATAAAGTCTTTGATGGCGTTCAGAACGAAAATGTCTGATAAACTATACTTTCGTCTATATCCTCAGTTCCGTTGCGTCTACCGTGTGCGATCGCACAAATATTTGTCTTATACCATAATAACGAACTAACGAGCTGCTCACTTGTTGTTGCTGCGATGTCTACTTATTGAGTTATCAATGGCTTCGTGCCAAATTACATGATTGCTATGGTCAAACAATTAATGGTGAAGGTAGTGTAGTATTCTTTTCTGAGAGTCCTTAGCCCTAAATTTCAAAATTAAACCTGGATTCATAAAGCAAGTATATTTGACGCGCTTTTGCGACGGAGCTTTTACAACGTATTATTTTTGCATGTTTAAGCTATATCGTATATTGCAATGGTTAAGAATTTTTTTTCGATTTTCCAATTTGATGTTAGTGGTTATTTTACCAAGTTTAAATTAAGCAGCCCAATATCAAATAAAGGGTTGCGAATTTGGCCTCCAATTCTGAATGACCGAATCATTTTAGTTAACGAGATAAGACGATTTTTGAGATTAAGTCAAAAATTTTCAGAAATTGCAAATAATTTGCAAATTTTGAAGTTCCCAACCCTGTAGTTGGACGCTGTCGGAGTACTCTAAGGAGTTACAAATCTTGCCTCCAAATATGACTGTTCAAATCCATGTAGTTTTCGAGATATGACGTTTTTTTGTGATTTTTTCAAAAAAAATTTCAGAAAACTTATATATTTTTTCGCAGAATCTGAAAGTCTAAACCCTGCAGTTGGGTTCTGTCAGTGTGATCTCAAAGATTACGAATTTTGTCTACAAATATGACTGCTCAATTTTTTGTAGTTTTCGAGATATGACGTTTTTTCTGATTTTTTCAAAATTTTCAGAAAACTTAAATTTTTATTAATTTTTTTTAAAACCTGAAATTCCCAACCCTGTAGTTAGGCCCTGTTAGATTACTCTCAAAGATTGCGAATCTTGCCTCCGAATATGACTGCTCAATTCTTTTTAGTTTTCGAGATGTGACGTTTTGTATGATTTTTTCAAAAATTTTCAGAAAACTTAAATTATGATTATTTTTTAAAAATCTGAAATTCCCAACCCTGTAGTTAGGTCCTGTCAGAATACTCTCAAGGATTGCGAATCTTGCCTCCAAATATGACTGCTCAATTCTTTTTAGTTTTCGAGATGTGACGTTGTTTGTGATTTTTTCAAAATTTTCAGAAAGTTTAAATTAAGTAGTTTTCAAAATTTGAAATTCCCAACGCTATAGCTCGGTTTTGTCAGGGTACTCTAAAGAGTTGCAAATCTTGCCACATGCAACTGCTAAACGCGACTGCTCAAATGTTTTTAATTTCCGAGATGTGACATTTTTTTATTTTTTCAAAATTTCTCAAAGAACTTATCTAAAAAGAAATTCAAAAAAATTTGAAACTACTAACTTGATGAAGATACATCCGTATTGTCAGCGTACACCCAGGCGTCTCAAATCGTGACGCTTAATATGAATGCTCAAATCTTTTAAGTTTCCGAGATAAGACGTTTTTTTTTTTAATTTTTTTTTCGGGAAACTAAGTTTAAAAAAGTTCACAAAATTTTGGATTCCTAACCCTATAGAAGGGTGCTCTCAAGGACTCTCAGTGGTTGCAAATCTGGCCTCCAAATTTCTCGAGAGGCCCGTTAAATTTTCGAGATGACGTTTTTAAAATGGGAATTTAAAAAAATTAAAAGTTCGAAATTACCAATCCTGTAATTGGGTGCAGTCAGATTACACTAAAAGTTTGCAGATGTTCTTTCCAATATATGCGATTGTTCATAAGTTTTCGAAAAATTTCGAAGCACCGAAGGTGCGTTAAACGCTAGTTTGCCTGATATTCAACTTTCAGATCACCTATAGTAAGGTTATTTTCGGTTGAATTCAGTTCAACGCTAATTTTAGCAAAACCTGAGGATTTTTCGGGACTTTGTTTGGCAATTTTCCAACTTTTCAACTTTTTTATGTAAATTTGATCAGCGGGTTCGAGAAAAATGTCAGATAGCTTGTCTAGATAGAGTGTAATCGTTTTTTACCTAGTGTAATCGAAGAATTTTTTCGAAGATTGAGAAAGCACCGATCTTACAAGACACATTCAAATTGTCGGTGTTGACCTTGCAATCCCTAGCAGACCTTCTGTCGAATATGACACCGACTCTGCCGAAGATGACACTGAAGATGGCACTCTGTCGAAGATAAAACTGACTCTGCAATCCGCTGCAGACCTTCTGTGGAACTTGACCCTGGCTCTGCAATTCGAGCAGGTCCTCTGTCGAAGATGACACTGACTCTGCAATCCGCAGCAGACCTTCTGTGGAACTTGACCCTGGCTCTGCAATTCGAGCAGGCCCTCTGTCGAAGATGACACTGACTCTGCAATCCGCAGCAGACCTTCTGTGGAACTTGACAATGACTCTGCAATCCTAGCAGGCCATCTGTCGAAGATGACACTGACTCTGCAATCCGCAACAGACACTAGATTCGAAACACCATGTCTGGAGACACCTTTTCTGTGAATATATAACCCACCTGAAAACCTTTTTTCTGTTACTACAGCCTGTTTGAGAACAGCTTCTGTGAGTACACCCTGTGCAAAAACAGTTTTTCATCTGTCCCAGAATCTGTCTAAGCCTTTCTGTGAGCTTTTCTGTTATCTTTGTCTGTGATTATCTGTTTCTGTCTCAGGATTTGGCTCAGTTTGTAGCCTGTTCGTGCAGTAGCCTGTTCGAGTAGTAGCCTGTTCTTGCAGCAGCCTGTTCGTGTAGTAGCCTGTTCATGTCCCAGAAATTAGTCAATAACAACAATTAACTCGAAAGGGAATGATCAATAATATCCCTTGTCAGGCGCCAAAATGTGCGCTCAATCTCCCTAAGGATGAATTTAAAACCAAAAAATCAACAATGCAAAATTCATCGGCAATGTTGATAAGTTTCATCCGAACATAACATTATAAACCACAGCAATTTATACTAAAACGCTTCAAAGCAAGCTCTCACAAAACCCGTGTTTGTCCCTGCGACAACTTGCTCTTTTGGTTGTTCAGATTAATCAAGCCTGAACCGAGTTAACTCGAAAACACGGTAAAAATAGTCAAATAGGATGAGGACCCCCTTTTTTAGAATGTTAAACGATGTGCATATGGGGGTCTCGAAACTATGCTGAAATGGTCTGCTTAGTTTTGGTACATTAGCTTAGGCAGCTCCGTCTTTAGCTCGGTGTTTTTTTAAAAATTGTTCAGTCGTCATCTTGCATGTTTAAGAATAATGAACGTAGTGAAGACTCTTAAATAGGTCTTGCTGATTTTTTTTGTTTTTTTTTTTCTTTCACGAAACGATTTCTAGTTTCGAAAGTGGAATTTATCTTTAAGATTTCCCAGCGGAATAAAAACTTTACCTAATGATCCATTTGTGTTCAATTTATCAAAAAAGCGCCCATCATAAATTGTTCTAGAAGTTCAAAGAGCTTACAGTGCATCTGTTTTTTTCTTTGAATATCGAAATTTGAGATTTTTTCAGGAATATCAGTGTTTTTTTGTTTACTTGCTTCATTACTCTTTTCCAATCTTCGATTGGCTTGTTAAAAATGATGTAAAAGTTTGATCAATACTTGTTCACCCTTACACGTTGAAGGCCATCAAAAGTCATTTTCAAAATTATTCATAATTTCAATTTCTTTCAAATCAAAGGCAGGACGCGAAAATAGCCGGTTGACTTAGTTTTCTTATACATAAGTGTCCAGAGTGTATCGGTTTAATGTTCTTATATTGCGTCGTTTGATGACCAAAGAAATTATTGGGTGTTTTGAAGGGACCGGTATTTCGATCATTTCTTTATTAGTTCTTGTCTTTTTTCGAATTTTTTTTCGCCTCCAATGCTTTTTGTTCATGTACTTCGGCTTTTTTCATCCCCTTTTTCTTGATTGATTTTCTTCGATGCTAATTTCACATTCTACTTTTTAGCACTTCATTCATCTAGTTTTTCGGCTTTTTAATTCTTTTTCCCCCGTTTGTACTGCAAGTGGCTCGAAGCTCGGCTTCGCCTCTGTGTTAAAACTTACTATACAATGAAAAGGATGAGATTCTAATTTAATACACTCAATATTTTGTACTCAGGGAATATGTTTTTTGAACCTAATTTTAATTTGAAACTTGAACCAAAGAGAAGGTTTGCTTTTAGACCAATATATTCTAAATGGTCATATTATTCTAGAAGTTTCTAACTGGATGAAAGATTTTGATAATTTTCAGATTGATCTGGAAGTTTTTATACTCGAGTGGCATTGAAATTTTCAGTTGCCATCTTGACAGTTGTACTGCCCATCTTTCCCATTTTGCGACTTAATCCCCTGAAAACTGATCAGATATGAGCGGTGGTGGAGGAGGGGGAGGGGGAGGAGGAGGGGAGAAGAAAAAGCAGACTATTCTTGACCTATCCAAGTACATGGACAAACACATCCACGTCAAATTCCAAGGAGGTCGGGAGGCATCGGGAATTTTAAAAGGTGAATTGTCAAATCGACACCATTTTGTACTGCAGTTGATAAGTTCATTCATCTGTTAAATGATATAAAATGTAATCGGAGGAGCTATTTTTTTTCGAAAATATTAATGGTATTGCAATCAAATCCCAATCTTTTTTTTTGCTGGCAATGCTTGTTTTCTTTGAAGATTTTGGACTGAGGGTTCTCCCTTCCCGCATTTGCGAAATCTTACTTATCACTATTTTTTTTATAATGTCTGATTGCTGTAACAATTGAAATGCTGACTACTCACAGGGATCCCCAATGATTTGTGTTTGTGTACGTTAAGATGCTAATTTCCATTCGAACATTATCAAAGCCACCAATTTTTTCTCAGTTTATGAGCTTTCAGAACAAATAACTTGACACATGTTTGAAATATTTGAAATATCCCTGGTGTTCACAATATTTTTTTGAATTTTTCAGTAGCGGCAACCCTTGAAGGCGAAATCATGTATCCGGGTCTCGGTAATTAAGTACTCTAGAGTAATTACGCTTTACCAACCAAGTTTGATCTTCCTGCCTAGTCTCGTAAAACCCTCGGTGCATGAATTATTTCATGCTTATGTGATGTGAGGTGAGGTGAGGGTAACAGGACAAGCAGCCTAAATGAAATATCATTATTAGACAAATCAGACTAATTCATTCGTGAGTCATCATAAGTATCATAATGAAGAAATTTTTCAGGCTACGACCAACTTCTAAACATAGTATTGGATGAGTCAATTGAGTTCATGCGAGATCCAGATGATCCCCAGAAACTGACCAAGGACACCAGAGCGTTGGGTCTGTCAGTATGTCGAGGCACCTCTATCCTATGCATATGTCCACAAGACGGAATGGAAGAAATACCCAATCCATTCATTCAGCAGGAGTGAAAATCAAACTATTTATGATGCTCTTTTTTTCTCGTCAATGGAGATGTTACTTCCAGTAGCTTTTTCTTGAAGTGATATATTGTTTTTTTTTCTGAGACTTAATGTTGATCATTGATTATTTCGTTGTTCTGACTTCCAGTTCATGTTGATATGGCAGGGTTTTTTTTCAAGCGAACGTTATGAAATTATCAAAAATCTTGGTTTTATAAAATTGAACAAGTCAAAATTGCACTTCTGTGGTTGCTACCCGGGTTGATATATTTAAAAAAAAATCTAGTCTAAGTAACAAACATAAAAAATAAGCACATATATATTGACTTCTACCCACGCGAAAAAAAAAGATGTTTTTGAGGCCTTAATAATAATTGCATATGATCCCCATAATGACCTTATAAACTCATTCTAAAAAGTCAAAACTGAGTTATGTATTTTCGTTCAATATCATGGGTCCGATTCGTATCAAGATCTAACCAACTTATCACTGATAAAGAAAAAAGTAACGCATCAATATAAATTATTAGAAAGATTGAAAGGTTTTGCACATCTTTCCTTGACGCTATTAATAAGTCCTTCACTGCAATTGATCAGTCTTGGAGGAAGGCAGGTGCAGCCTGCGTTTCCGCCTCGTTGTGATCGACGGTGCTGCCTTCCTCTTCATGGGTAGAACCTTCATCGTTCGACTCGAGGGGAGTCATCTTGGTTATTATTTTTCTATTGTTGCTGAACTTCATTCCCATGAGCCCCCGTAACGCTGGAACCAGTGATCATGGATGCCGCGTTCTGGGTGGGGAAGTTAGTGGTGAGGAATGGCGTGGTCCAACTTGAGATTGAGAAGCAGAATGAGCGCCTGCCCTGTCATGAATCACAGGCATGTTTGGTGCCGATCTTGTAAAGGTACGCGTAACAACCAAGGTTTCCAGCACAGTATGAGCATTTGTGGCAGTTGACGAAACTGGTGGAGGTCGAGTTGAGACGGCAGACTTAGATGCAATTGCTTGTACATATTTGGCGGAGGGAACATCAGGAGGTAACGAATAACTTCACCCACCTGTCTTCGTTATCCTCTCCTGCAGCCACGTCTTGGAACCTGATGTCCAAGAAGTTGGCATCGTCAACGGCCCGAGCTTGCTCATAATTGAGGCGCAGATGCAGCAAAAGCATATTTTACGCTGAAAAAAGTTGGAATATTTGTTGAAAGTGAAACTGAGCAAAGTAGTGAGCGTAAAGAGTCAGGTTTTACAGACAGCATGAACCTGTGAAAAATAGAATTTGAAAAAGCATTTAAACGTTTCGTATACATATAATAACTCATTTTGAACAATGAAGCTCTTCACGTTTTTTAAATCCTGTCAATATATTATATTCCGCAAGGTTCCCCAAATGAGTGGGTGAACAAATGCGGCTCTATATAGTAGTGAGGCTGCCTTCATGTTACCAGGTTCACCTTGAGATTTAGAAGCAGAATGGGCGCCTGCCCTCTCATCATGAATCACAGGCATGTTTGGTGCCGATTTTGTAAAAATACGAGTAACACCCACGGTTTCCAGCACAGTATGAGCATTGTGGCAGTTAACGAAACTAGTGGAGATGGAGTTGAGACGGCGGAACAAGATGCAATTGCTTGTACACATTTGGTGGAGAGAATATCAGATTCTTGTACAGGCGTCAGCGTAATAGCGTGAAGACTGTGGGCGTCAGCACAAACGTCTCAATCTTGCTTAGATGGTTTGTACCATGAGCAGACGTTAAATCCCTGAAGTGCAATAACAGCCTTCAAAACTGCATTTACAGTTTGTTTGAAAACAAATGGATCGAATCTTGGCATATTTATTTCCAGTCCTCTGGGGTTAGCAGCAACGATGGTGAGCGCAGATACACTTTGCAGTTCTGCTACTGAGGTTGGGCAGTGCATGTTCTCAACATTCTCTCATGAGATGCGAGCACGCAATGCATTCCAGTTTATGCCCGATTTCTTTACGCTTACACATGTGTTGGTTGGGTCCTGAAAACGCTGCCCACCATCGCATCTGATTCCATCGCACGCATTGTCCTACACAAGAGTTATTTCCAGCAGAACATTCTTGGACGTGAATGCAAACTAACGCTTTTCTAATTCGCTATCCACATCGAAGCTACTTGGAATTTCCATACCCCTTAACGTAGTGTCATTAAAAACTGGAATGAGTGGCTCCTCTGTAGCCAGTAACAATTTTCCTCCTTCCAGCACTCCTTTGATGTCCACGTTGAGTAGGTACACATGAGTCGCCGGGGTAAACGCGCGCAATATCTGAACAACAAAGCTGAAGCTTGAGGAGACTTTGTGGATAATGCGCAAGTTTTAGCAGTCTGGGGAATACAGAACAGCACAAAGCGATCGTAGGTGTCCTGCTGGAAAAGAGTTAATATCTCGGGAGGTGCGGACTTCGTCCAGTTTCTGAACCTAACAGGCTCAACATGACGCTTCCCGTGAATAACGAATATTTTCACACTCCTGTTTTAGTTATCCTCTCCTGTGGCCACATCTTGGAACCTGATGCCAAGAGGTTGGCAACAGACCGAGCTTGCTCAAATTTGAGGCGCGGAGGCAGTAAAAGCACATATTTTACGCTAATAAGTTATTGAATTTTTGCTAAAAGTGAAACTGAGCATAGTAGTGAGCATAGAGTCAGGTTTTACAGATAGCATGAACCTGTGGAAAACAGAGTTTGAAAAAGCAATACAACGTTCCGTAAACAATAAGTAATTCAATTTGAACAAGGTAACTTTTGAACATTTTTTAAATCCTGTCAATAAATTATGTTCCGCAAGGTTCCTCAAATGTTTGGGTGAGCAAATGCGGCCCTATATAGTAGTGAGGCTGCCTACCTGTTACGAATTGGCGAGGAATGGCGTGTCCAAGTTGAATCACAGGCATGTTTGCTGACGATCTTGTAAATGTACGAGTAAAATCCATAGTTTCCTGAACTTGTGAGCATGTGTGGCACTTGACGAAACTGGTGAAGCTGGAGTTGAGACGGCAGAACTAGATGCAATAGCTTGTACATATTTTGGCGGAGTGAACATCAGATTCTTGTACAGGCCTCAGTTTAATACTTTAAGACTTTGGGCTTCAGCACAACTGTCTCCATCTTTCTTAGATGGATTCACAGACTTAAAATCCCTGAAGCGCTATAACAGCCTTCACAAGTGCATTTACAGTTTGTTTGAAAACAAATGGATCGATTGTTGGCATATTTAGTTCCAGTCCTCCGGGGTTAGCAGCAAAGATGGTGAGCGCAGATGCACTTTGCAGTGCTGCTAATGAGGTTATACAGTGCATGTTTTCAGCATTCTCTTAAGAGAAGCGAGTAAGCAACGTATTCCAGTTTATGCCGGATTTCTTTAAACACTTACATGCGTTGGTTTGGCCCTGAATACACTGCCCACCATCGCACATGATTCCATCGCATGCATTGGCCTGCGCATGAGTTCTTAATTTCAGAACGTTCTTGAACGTGAATGCAAACGAACGTTTTTCTGTTTCGCTGTTCACATCGAAGCTACTTCGAATTTCCATACCCATAATGTACTGTCATTAAAACTGGAATGAGTAGCTCCTCTGTAACCAGAAACAATTTTCCTCCTTCCATCACTCCTTTGATGTGCACGTTGAGTAGGTACTACAGGGTTCGCCGGGGGCAAACACGCGCAATATCTGAACAACACAGCTGAAGCTTGAGGAGACTTCGTGAAAAATGGGCAAGTTTTAGTAGTCTGGGGAATACAGACCCGGACATAGCGATCGTAGGTGTCCTGCTGGAAAACAGTTAGTCTATAGGGAGGTGCGGCCTCCCTCCAATTTCTGAACCTAATAGGCTCAACATGACGCTTCCCGTGAACGAATAACTTCACCCTCTTGTCTTCGGTATCCTCTCCTGCGGCCACTTCTTGGAACCTGATGCCAAGAAGTTGGCAACGGACCGAGCTTGCTCAAAATTGAGACGCGGAGGCAGATAAAGCATATTTTACACTAAGAAGTGTTCGAATATTTGCTAAAAGTGAAACTGAGCAAAGTAGTGAGCATAAAGAGTCAGGTTTTACAGATAGCAGGAACCTTTGGAAAACACAACTTGAAAAAGCAATTGAACGTTCCGTATACAATTAGTAACTCATTTTGAACAATGAAACTATTCACATTTTTCAAATCGTCCTAACAGATTATGTTCCGCAATGTTCCTCAAATGAGTGGGTGAGCAAATGCGGCCCTATATAGTAGTGAGGCTGCCTGCATAATACGAAGTGGCGGGGAATGGCGTGGTCCAACTTGAGCTTGAGAAGCAGTATGAGCGCCTGCCCTGTCTTAATGAATCAGAAGCATGTTTGGTGCCGATCTTGTGAAGGTACGCGTAACACCCACGCTTTCCAGCACAGTATGAGCATTTGTGGCAGTTAACGAAACTGGTGGAGGTGGAGTCGAGACGGCGGAACTAGATGCAATTGCTTGTGCTTATTTGGTCGAAGGAACATCAGATTTTTGTACAAGCGTCAGTCTAAAAACGTGAAGAATGTGGGCTTCAGCACAAACGTCTCCATCTTGTTTAGATGGTTTGTACCACCAGCAGACCTTAAATCCCTCTACATGACGGTTCCCGTGAATAACGAATAACTTCACCCTCCTGTCTTTGGTATCCTCTCCTGCAGTCACGTCTTGGAACCTGATGTCCGTAAAGTTGGCATCGACAACGGCCCGAGCTTGCTTATAATTGAGGCGCGGATGCAGTAAAAGCTTGTTTTACGCTGAAAAATGTTGGAAGATTTGGTGAAAGTGAAACGGAGAAAATAGTGAGCTTAAAGCGTCAGGTTTTACAGACAGCATGAACCTGTGGAAAACAGAATTTGAAAAAGCAATTGAACGTTCCGTATACAATTAGTAACTCATTTTGAACAATGAAACTATTCACATTTTTCAAATCGTCCTAAAAGATTATATTCCGCAATGTTCCTCAAATGAGTGGGTGAGCAAATGCGGCCCTATATAGTAGTGAGGCTGCCTGCATAATACGAAGTGGCGGGGAATGGCGTGGTCCAACTTGAGATTGAGAAGCAGTGTGAGCGCCTGCCCTGTCTTAATGAATCAGAGGCATGTTTGGTGCCGATCTTGTGAAGGTACGCGTAAC